ACCCACACCCACACAAGGCAGCGTTCATCCTACGGATTCGCTGACCCTTTTCTGAAAGAAAACATAAAATTTTCTGGAGAATTTGTCAACAAAAACATTTTCAATTTTAGTAAATGCAATAATGGATAAATTTATAGCCTCTTCTTCATCGAGATAAGTGAATAGCATGACCATTTTTATACCGCAACTTAACAGTTACGATTACAACCGCTATTCAGCTAAACTTGACATCTACACCAAAAAAGAGATTTGATGGACTTTATTTAGAATCTAAACATCTTATTAAAATCCATTTGTTATCTCTTTTTTTTTTAGGGCAGAAAAAGTAAAAACAATAACATGCATACACTTTTTCATAGAAGTCTTTTTCCCAGTAAGTGGAATATGTCGCACGACACGGAGCAGAAGTATCGACAACTACTTTCTGCATAAAGCAGCATTGCTTTTATATTCTAACTCCAGGAACAGTAAGTAGGATATTTTAATACATTTTCAAACAAAGTGGACGATAAACTTTACTATTTTGTAGAATGACCAAAAATGCATCTAATAAGAAGAAGAAATAGGAGCTTCTTTGAATTTATTAGAAGTTCATATACAAGAGTGAGAGCCATTTTAATTACATTCTAAAACCATTAAAAGAACATTTAAGAATCAATATTTTGTCTGACTACATAACCCAAACGGGCAATGTCTCATATAACAGCTTACGTTTCCAGAACGGAGACTGTTTAAATAACGAAATATTTCCAATTTCTTTCTTACACTGAAAATATTAATCAGGCGATACTCAACTTAATAAAACCATGATGGGCGAGAATTTTTCATAGTTTTGCTTAAATTATCTCAATTTAGGCATAAAATATCGAACAGGTCTTTCTAAAAAACAAATCTCTCATCTTCACTAAAGCAACCAAGTCATCGTCAGTCTTTGGCGTCCCTTTCTATTCATTGTCACTTCAAATGCATTACGTATTTCAATACGAAAAACCGTCTCTAGTCGCATTCTAATAGAAACTATTGACAAAAAGACATTTGAATCAATGCAACTTTAGATGGAATCACTTCACACGTATAATTCAACGAAACATGACATTGAAAAGCTCTAAATTCGACGAACAGAAAACTCCCATTTCTCACTAATGAGTTTTTCTGATCGAAAGAAGGCCAAATGAAACAAAAAAAACTCATGTTAGATACGCATTCCTCACTTCTGATAACCTATATGAGTGTCTCATCAAAACACCTGAAGATCTAAAAATAGAAAAACTCATGTGTGCTTTGTTGGTGTGGGTGTAATGTTTTGATAGACACCCACACTCACAGTATTTGAAAAATCTGACTTCACATGTTAATGGTATCATTACATTGTAATACCACCTTATTATATAGATTAATAAACGATAAGAAAGATCATAATTGACATCATAAGAGAGATTAAAACGAACACGACAAGCTGCAATTGAATATCATCTTCTGTTAGATTGTTTTTTCTATGTATTCAGCATTTCTTAGAGAATTCACCAGCCAATATTTATGCACCAATAACTCACCTATCCTTTGTATCTATGCCATATAGTAATTATTGTTTTGTTTTTAGTTTACTGCAGTAATGATTAATTACTCGCTCCTGTATAAATTCTTGATTAATTTTTATTACAGTATATAAAAAGAAAAGTTGTTAGAATAACAAAGGTATTGACTGATAAAAGAAAAGAAAACTACTTCATATTTCGCTAATAAAAAAAAAAGGAAAGTAAGGATAATAAAAAACTCTTATAGACGAAAGTAATAATAATTTTTTATGAGTTACAGAGCAATAGTAATAAAAAGCAATGATAATGTCGCATCTCTAAGCATAACACACTCCTGTCTTGTTATTCTGTGAAAAGTCCTTTGATTATTCTATTGTGATCAGACTAACTTGAAATCTGTCAAAAGTAAGTTTAACAATTCCTAAGTGTCGGCAACTGCTGAGTATCATTGTCAGATGGATTAACATATTGATCTGAAGTGTATTTCGGTCGTTGAGCGGAAGCAACATTACTAATCATATCAAAATCGTGCGTGGGTCTACTGGATTGCTGTCCGTTTGAGTGATCAATCGAATTTTCTGCATTATTGTGATTACAAACTGACTGACGGTTACTATCTGTTCGATATTTTTCATCAGGATTTCGTTTACACTTACGAATTAAAAAGTGTAAAAATGGTAAAAATATTACCTCAACTATAACAAATACAAGCACAAACATTCCAATAATCGTTGATATATAAAGGAAATCATGATAAACTATTTCAGGTAATCTAGCAATTGGTGACTGTTCATTTAGTATATAATAGGGTGTTTCACTGATAGTTAATGTCAAAATCGTTGACGTCTTAGCTGCTGCGTTTAAATAATCAGTGTTTGTTATGAATGATACCTTGTCGTTTGTCAAAAAAGAACCAATCCAAATTCCACTCAGTACCTCATCATGACCAGTTACAAGTGGACTTGTATTATTGATTACTTTTGTCAGTTGAAGGGTCATATCGACGTTTGTTGCAAGTATACGTCCACTTTGATTCAATGTTTGTGAAAAACCTAAATCTTGGAGGGTTGCTGTAGAAGATTGCTTTTTACCAATAGCACTCAGACCCATACGAAGTCCACCAATTATATGTGTGTTTGGTAAAATAAATTGTACAGTAATGGATCTAAATGGCAAGAGAGCACTATAGGAAACTATATAGTTTGAAGTATGACAGGAGAGATTTGGCGTTACTGGCAACCATGTTGCACCGAAGAGATAGTTCAATGTGACTGCATCTGATGTGCAATTGTAAATTGTATTGAGAAAAGACACAGCTAGATTGACTTCTTGATCGTTTAACAAGTCCATCATGCCTTGAATATTTTCAGCGGGTGGTACCAATAAAGATCGTAAAGTTGAAGAAAACTGTGCATTTCGTATACTCGTATCACATGTGTACGTCGAAGGTCCAGCTGTTTCAATCGGATAAGATTTGTGATACTTGCCACCAAATACACAGCAAGAAATAGAGAGCACGAGAACACAAAATGTAGCAAGGCCACCAGCCCACATCTGACCTTCACGAATGATGTCTGCTCGTTTAAATATTTTCTGACATAGTTTATAACTATTTATAGCTTTATCATTTTTAATACAGTGCCTAATCACAAACATTGTACTTCCGATGAGAACTACAATAGCAGCCATGATCAAGGTCCAAAACATGGGTGAAAGAGCAACACAGCGTGCAGATGAACCAATTGAAAACAGTGAAAAAAACAGAATATCATCAAATCCAGTAATATCTGGGGACTTTGGGTAGTCAACTGCTTGGATGACATTACTGAGCTGATCATTCGAGATAGAATCACTGACAGAACCAAGAGGACAGAATGTATTCACAGCACAAGCAACACAGGTTGCTACTGTAAGATTGGTTCCATCATTTTTTGTTCCTTCTGGACAGAGTGAACACCGACGAATACCTGTTACATTCTTATAAGTACCGAGTATACATGGCAGTTGAGAGGAGAACACCGGCGGCACAGCTTCAAAATCCGGTCCACTGGTTGAGGCATAATAGCCAATGGGAGCTGAGAGAATGCCAAAGACACCGCCATTGTCAGCAAGGAGAACTAAGTCCTTTGGGGTTGTAATGATATTAAGAAAAATAGAAGACATGTAACTATAAAGCGGTTGTTCATTGTTGGGAAAAATTGAGATAGGTCTCGAGGTATTCGTCAATGGACTGTCATATACATAGATGTTCGAAGATCTCCAAACGTAATCTGTCGAATAGACGTTGGCCAGAATGGCAACACTGTTGGCAGTGTCACTGAGCCAGGCTACACCTTTGCCGAAACCAATGCCTTTACCGTTATTTAATGAAGTAATCAATGTCAGTGTTGTATTTGTGTAATTGAAGAGAAAAACTGTATTCATCGACTGAATACCGACGAGGACTTGTCTAGCTGTCGGATTTATACTGACAGATATGGCGTTTTTAGAATCATAATTCTCAGCACCTGAATTTGTTAGTCCAGGTTCCCAAGAAGTAATTAGCGTGGCGTTGGCTGTTGATGCATCAATACTAAACAGAATAACCGTTGCGCTGTATGTGACACCTATTAAAAAATAAAAAGAGAGCAGAGACCTTGAGCGAACACTATACTCCTATATTTTTATTGACTTCTTCTACATACGTGAATTGTTAGTATCCTCGACAAAACCAGCAATAATACCATGGCTACCATCGTAATCAACGGCGTACGGAAAGAATGATGTCGAAGGAAAAAATGAATTAGACTTAATATCAACAAATTTATTCGTAGATGGTGTATAAGCAATTACAAAGTTATTAGAGAAAATGTAGGCAACCAAACCAAGAGGATCAGTAGTTATTACTAAATGTTCTTGATGAGGGAAGCTTTCTGCCACATAACCTTCGCTATAAATGAAGCCATCACAATCAATCGTATCAAGCGAACCGGTGTAATTTTGAAAACCGAAATGTGTACGATATGGCATTGGGTCATTTTCGGTCATATTCATCCATTCACCAATGAAGAAAAAGCCAGGTACTGATTGACTCTTACCTAGAGCCACTGCATAAAAATAAAAGGAAGGATTATTATAAACATAACAACCACGTGCATTGTTTGTGTCAACATCATCCGTGTAATTTGCAAATTGAATGTTAAACCGACTAAAATCATTTTCAGCTTGAACAATCATCAAATTATTAGCAGCTACTTTCAGTCCATATGCATCATAATCCTCAGTATCAGGCGAAAAAATGGCAGTAAACGAGAGACATACGAAGAACGTAAGAATTAAGAGTAATTGATGTAGAATAAACATTTGAATCTACTTGCAAGAAGAAAATAAAAGAAAATTAGAGAAGAAGTCATGCCTGATTAGGTCTTTCATTTAAATAGATCATGTTCTCGAGGGTGTGGGAATGGGTGGGGGGATGTGGGCGTGGATTTGGATTTGAGTTTGAGTGTGGGTATGGGTGAGTGTAGGTGTGCGTGGGTTTGAGTTAAGATAAGACTCACACCGACACCCATACCCCATACCCCATCCATACCCGCGCCCACACTCTCTAGCGAATAGTGTATTTAAAGTTTTGTTTTGGTCATGCTGTCTATGTGAAAAGTGTATTCTTCAAAACGTCCCGTATGCTGAAATGCTCATGTCGCCTAGTTTTTAGCAACTTCGACGCAGTGCATCGCAGTGGTGATCGCATTGCGACTCGTAATTGCGAAAAATTGGGACGCAGTTACGCGCGACTGCGGTTTTTTCATTGTAAATACGCGCAACTGCGTCGCAATTTGATCGCAATCGCAAACATGGGTATAGATTTTGTAAAAAGCTGCAAAAATTTAAAAAAATAATTAGTTTACAAAAGCTTCAGAAAAGTAAATGGAAAAAATTCGAAAGGTATGCGTTAGATAAAGTTTTCGACGTACTATCCAATCATGTGTTTTATTTATGGATCATACGTGTAGGAATGACAATATTCGCGAAACAAGCTTTCTCACGTGTTGCAAGGTCGTTTTGTGGTCAATCGAAAGACAATTGGTGCACTGTCCAAATTGAATAAATAAAACACTATTTGCTGGATGAACTTATTGTCCATATTTTGCTCTTTGAAACAAACAAAAATGTAAGATGATCGGATATTCGGTAGATAAGAAACAAGGCTTGGCATTTTTGCAAGACTTGCACTGCATATTATTAGATCTTAGGTTTTTTTCTAAAATAACCAATATATGCTCCATATGGTGCACATATGCACCCCTAAAGGTGAAACAAGCAAATTGTGAAATTGATATTCCGACTTCTTTCTAGAGATGATGGGAGCAATAAATAATAAGGGTGTGGGTGTTGGATTGAAAAACTTGCAGGAGAGTGGATAGAACATATCTCTCATGCTTTTATCAAATCGGCATTGACTGTAAATTTGTTTGTTTGATTCACGACAAACAAATTAGCTTTCTTTTTGTCGCTTAAAAAGACACGGTACCGAACGTTTTCTTTCATCTGTTAACATGAAGTTCCGTAATGCGGCTGTTCACGATCATTCAAGGTATTCAACTGGGTAACAGTCATTCACTTGCTTTTCAAATCATTTTTCTCGACATATTTGAAACTGAGAAATATGGGTTTGTTCTATACGGCTTGTCCAAGCGTAACGGTGTTACGTTTTTGGCATACTATTTTCCAATTATCTCGAGAACTATAGGAGCTAGAAAATTCGCTCAAGCGCCATGCGACGCAACTCATGAAGCTCTATTTGTGTTATTAAAATGGGTAGTTTCTGTCGAACTCTCGAGTCTCTGGAAAGATTTTTTGATCGCGTAACGATGTTACATAAAAGGACTCTATATTTGCAGTGTTCGTCTTTAAGCCGTGATTTCCTCTGAAAGTCCCTATCTAGATAAGACACCGCAAGGACGAATTTTGTAGAGCTTTTCACGAGCTTCAAAATAGTAAAAAAATCTGTTCTAATTTATTTTCTGCGCGTAAAAAAGGCAAAAAACAAACGTAACGGTGTTACATTTTCCGTAACAGTGTGACACCGTTTTTCCATAAATTAATATCATCTTTTTTATTGAGTCTAGATTCGTCTGAATCGGTTGTTTTTACTTCTAAACCAACGTTTCTGCGACCCTAACCACTAAAAATACCGTTTCAGTATCTAGAGATAGCTCTTAGATCTCTGTAGTGTTCAAAGTTTCCTGTTGCAGTAAAAGGTACTCCCACCATAGGTGAGAAACAGACCGACAAAGGTACGTTTTGAACTGTGCTGTCACTTTTCAATTTTGAACTCTGTACATAATGTAGTTCCCATTGACGTATGAACACATCCAAAGCAATAAAGGTCCCAAGGTCTTCTGTCGAGAATTATAGACATTTTATTGCAATTTAAGCCCTATGCATGATATATAGTAAACAAAGAAAGATCTGTGCCTTATGAATCGAGGACTAAAGGTGATTAATACGAAAACCAAATGATGGATAACTTATATGCAGAAATTATATCATTGTGATAGTGCCACTTTATATAAAAATAGAACTTTGACAAACGGAAGAATTAAAAGTCATCTGAGCTTTCTTTCTATTCTTACAACCTAAATGCCGAATCCTTTCTCTCTGTTTGGGGCTTGTATCAAAACTTCAAAAGTATAGAGAAATAACTCTTTTCTTCTACTGTTAATCGTAACATGTACAACAGTACAACACTGTTATCAACAGCCGAACTACTTATCTGTCATTTAGTAAATGGTACTCCAAATAGTGTCAATCTAATAGTGAGATGTTATGCAGACTTCGAAAATTATAGACCTTAGCGTTCGATTCACTATTGGGTACTAAGCCTAGTTAGCTATAGTCTTGCCTGATATATGTTTAATGTTACTGAAATTCTCTGAAACGGCGAGTAAAAGAGACATCAATTTAGGTTCATCCTTTTTTATATGGATTAAAAACACCTCAAAATCTTTATCTTTCATGAAAAAAAAGAGCTAAAAGAAATATTTTTGAAGTAGTAAATCGATAAAATGTCCCTCTCCATCAGCACGTATATTTTCTCAAGCAGATTGATATTAGGTTTAGTTTTAGAAATGATTAGTACAACATTTAGAATCGTTCTGAGATGTAGCATATGCTTCCGTTCAGAAGCAGTCTCACGAGGGAACCTTTTCAACTGTCCAATCCCTTTTGAGTTCGGACTTTGTGCAAAAGATAGACCCAAGTGAGGTATGAAAAACCCCAAAATGATACATGCTGTTAGGCCTTCTGTCCAAAGTTATAGACATTTTGCTGGAATTTTAGCCTATGGTATGGTATATACCAATAAATCGAATGACGGTATTTCGACCTAAGATTTTGCTCACACACAGGTCTATTTATGAGTAAAATATCCTGAAAATTTTAGCTGAAAAGAACGTTTCCTTCCCGACATATTAAAGTTCCAAAAATGACTCATATACTGCAAAAAATGCTAGAATTTTCTGTTTTTTGGAACATTAATATCTCGAGAAGGAGATGTTCTTTTCAGCTGAAATGTTCAGGGTATACTACTCATAAATAGACCTGTCTGTGGGCAAAATCTTAGGTCGAAATACCGTCATTCGATTTATTGGTATATACCATAGGCTAAAATTCCAGTAAAATGCCTACAACTTTGGACAGAAGGCCTAACAGCACGTATCATTTTGGGATTTTTCATACCTCACTTGGGTCTATCTTTGGCACAAAGTTAGAACTCAAAAGGGATTGGACAGTTGAAAAGGTTCCCTCGTCAGTAGAATATGGACTTTGCAGAATTCGCAACGCAGTTTTAATTTTAATGACGTAGTCATACTCAAGCTTTAATCACATGGTCAAGAAATATTTATGGCTCTGGATAAAAGTGAGCATTTATGAAGAGGAACTATACTCGTTGTACTTACTCGAGATGAGATTGAACCGTAAACTTGAACTCCATCTTAATAATACGAAACGACTCACATTACCATGTTACTCTATGATCCTTT